ATCCCATCCCATCCCACCCCATCCCATCCCTTCTTACCCCATCCCATCCCTTCTTACCCCATCCCATGGATCCCACCCCATCCCACAGATCCCACCCCATCCCATGAATCCCAACCCACCCCATGGATTCCACCCTATAGATCCCATCCCATGGATCCCACCCCATCCCATGGATCCCATCCTATCTCATGGATCCCACCCCATGGATCCCACCCCAGTCCACAGCCCCCGCCCCGCGGGCCCCCCTCACCTCTTCTCGCCCAGGCTGGGCCCCGAGGGCAGCTGCAGGTACAGGTAGAGTTTGTCGCTGTCCGAGAACTTCTGCACGTCCTGCTGCGCTCCCGGCACAAGGAGAGGGATCCCGGGATCAGCCCCGGAGCCCAGGAGGGAGTTCCCTGCCCTCAGCCCCGGGAACACTCACCAGGATGGAGTCCACCTTGCTCTGCACGGATTTGCTGCGTGGGACAGAGGCAGAGTCAGGGGTGATCCCAAAAAACCTGGGATCGCAATTCCTGCTCTTCCCAGGGCTCCCGAGGCCCCTCCTGACCCCTGTTCCAGGGCTCAGAGATCCAGGGTGGGTCAGGATGGATCAATGATGGATCCAGGATGGATCAGGATGGGTCAGGATGGGTCAGGATGGATCAGGATGGATCCAGGATGGCTCAGGATGGATCCAGGATGGTTTGGGATGGATCAGGGTGGATCAGGGTGGATCCAAGATGGATCAGGGTGGATCCCACCACACCAGGAGTGTGGCCTGGCCTGGCACCTGGAAGGGCCCCTCTGCCCTGCTGGTGTCCCCCGTGTCCCCTGTGCTCCCTGCAGCCCCAGGGTGCCCAATTCCCCACCCGGAGCCCCCTGGGGCAGGAATTCCCTGCAGGAACTCCCCGCGGGCGCTGCCCTTACGAGATGCTGCCCCGGAGCTCCTGCAGCAGCGTGCTGGACTCGGTGGCACCGCCCCGGGCACTGCCAGGGGACAGCGTGCCCCTCCTGGCCGCTCGCGTCCCCAGCTCCTCCTCAGCCATGGCAGCCGCGGCCTGCCGGGACAGGGAGACGGGATTTGGGGTAAAAACAGCAACAAATCCCATTATGGATTCCAACGGGGCACAGACATGAGCACGGGGGGCACGGGAACAGGACAGGGACAGGGGGACACCAGGACAGGGGGACATGGGGACAGCAGGACAGGGGGACACCAAGACAGGGACAGAGGGACATGGGGACAGCAGGACAGGAACAGGGGGACACCAGGACAAGGACAGGGGGACATGGGGACACCAGGACAGGGGGACATGGGGACACCAGGACAGGGACAGAGGGACAGGGGGGCATGGGGACAGGAACAGGGGGACACCAGGACAGGGGGTCCCAGGGTCAGGGCGACACCAGGACAGGGACAGGGGTCCCCAGGGACAGGGGCACACCGGGAACAGACCCACAGGGGGACACCGGGAAGACACTCCCGGGGACATGGGGCCACGAGGCCACCGGAAGCGCCCCCCGGGGCCGCCGCCGCGCTCCGCGCCCTCCCCGCGGCCCGGGGCGATCCCGGCGGCCCCGGCCCAGCGCGACCCCCGCGCTCCGGACCCGGGCGGTACCGGGACCGGGACCGGGACCCCCTCCCGCGGCCGAGCCCGGGCTGTCCCGGGGCTGTCCCGGGGCTGTCCCGGGGCTGTACCCCCTCCCCCCCCAGCCCCGCACCCACCTGGTCCCGTCCCGCTCGGGGGGCCCCGGGAGGGGGGGGAGGGGAGGGGTCCCGCCACGTGCCCCGCGCCCCCCGCGCGAACCGAAAGTGGACGCGCCCCTCGCTCGCCGCGCGCGGCCCCTTCTTTTTTCTGATTGGCTGCGGCGCCGCTGGTCTGCCCGGATACGGCGGCGCTCGCGGCTGTGATTGGCTGAGCCCGCGCCCCCCCTCGTTTTGGGGGCGAGCGCCCGGATGTGGCGGGGCGGGAGGGGCCGAAATCTGCCTGGCAACAGCGACCTGATTGGTCGGGGCGGGCGGCGCGAGGGGAGACGGGTGTGCGGTGAGTGTGCAAACGGGTCACGTGGGGCGGGCGCGTGTGCGGGGGTTGTGCAACGGGCGCGCGTCACGTGCGCGCGTCACGTGCGAGTGTGCGACGGGCCGGGGGTGAGTGTGCAAGGGAGGGTCACGTGGGGAGGCCACGTGCGCGATGAGTGTGCAAGGGAGGGTCACGTGGGGAGGCCACGCGTGCGATGAGTGTGCAAGGCGCGTGCAAGGAGCTGGGAAAGGGAAATGAAGGATTTTCTGCAGATTTATTCCAGACGCATCCCGCCATTCCCGAATCCCGGAATTCCCGAATTCCCAAATTTCCAAATCCCAGAATTCCCGAATTCTGAATTTCCAAATTCCTCACTCTTGGAATTCACAAATTCCTGACTCCCGGAATTCCCAAATTCCTGACTCCCCGAATTCCCACATTCCCAAATTTCCACATCCCGAATCTTGGAATTCCCAAATTCCCTGCTCTTGGAATTCCCAAATTCCCGACTCCCAGAATTCCCACATTCCCGAATTTCCAAATCTCAAATTCCGAATTCCCGAATTCCCCACCCTTGGAATTCCCAAATTCCTGACTCCCGGAATTCCCAAATCCCGAATTCCCGGCTCCCGGTTTCCCCGTGGATCACAGCCAGGTGCAGTCCCCGCATTCCCAAATTCCAGGCGTGGGTGGGAAATAATCGGGAATCAGATTTGAAAACCCCAATTTTAATCAATTTTTTAATACAAATTCCCGTTCCCAGCTGGATCCCACCGGGTGGGAATTCCAAGGAAAAGGGTTTGGAACAGCTGGGAAAAAATCGGGGGAAGGGATTTGGATGGTTCAAATTCCATGAAGGAATTCCAGCCGCTCCCTGAAAATCCCACATTCCCGAGGAATTTTGGGGGAGGGAAATCCCACATTCCCGAGGAATTTTGGGGGAGGGAAATCCCACATTCCCGAGGAATTTTGGGGGAGGGAAATCCCACATTCCCGAGGAATTTTGGGGGAGGGAAATCCCACATTCCCGAGGAATTTTGGGGGAGGGAAATCCCACATTCCCGAGGAATTTTGGGGGAGGGAAATCCCACATTCCCGAGGAATTTTGGGGGAGGGAAATCCCACATTCCCGAGGAATTTTGGGGGAGGGAAATCCCACATTCCCGAGGAATTTTGGGGGAGGGAAATCCCACATTCCCGAGGAATTTTGGGGGAGGGAAATCCCACATTCCCGAGGAATTTTGGGGGAGGGAAATCCCACATTCCCGAGGAATTTTGGGGGAGGGAAATCCCACATTCCCGAGGAATTTTGGGGAGGTTGCAGATTTTTATCGGGAAGGGGAGAACTGGAAAAGTGGGATTTGAATTGCAGGGGGAGAGGCTGAGGCAGAGCCGGCTCCGGCTTGGGAATGCAGAGTTTGGGATGCTGGGATTGTGGGATTTGGGGATTATGGGATTTGGGGATTTTAGGATTTGGGATTGTGGGATTTTGGGATTTTTGGGCTCTCAAAGCTCACCCCGGGCAGCTCCCGCTGGTCCCGGTGGCTCCAGGAGCTGCCCAGGCTGGGTTGGGGCAATTCCAGAGATGGGGAATCCATGGAGGAACCGGGGTCAGGGGAGGATTTATCCCAAATATCCACCTGGATCCCGCTTGATTTCTGGGCAAAACCTTCTCCGGGAGCCCCCAAGGATAACACAGGGGGGAAATAGAGGGGAAAAAAAGGTGGGGGGGATAAAAAATGGATGAAAAACCG